ACCTGCATGACTCAGTTCGGTAGATTTCACACCGGATAGAACTTCTCTGAGGAGAAAATAATGCTTCCTCCGGGGAGAAATCGGCGCTTCTGTGAATCGGACGATAGTTCCCTAACGAGTGGTCCTAGAGAAAACTTTCAATGGGCGAAAAGATGCGGGAGTGAAAGAGCTTTCCAACGATGTCAAGCAATTCAAAATCGGTTCAGCCGTTTAGCCGCAATCGCCGATTTAGTGGAAAAATTTCAATTCTCGGGGTCACCGGGGTCAAACCCAGACCCGGTGATAATCTCAAAAGTTGCCTTTTAGGCCCAATAACCCACCATAAAAATTTCAGCGAAATCGGTCCAGCCGTTCAGAAGTTATGATTTTCCGTGGTTTCCGACCACTGTGCGCCGTCCTGGTGCTGTCACCGCAGCACGGCGAAGCCACGCCGCGCCGTGGCAGTCTGTCGATAGGCCACCCGAAGGCACTTGTAAGGATTAGTGTAATGAATTCTGCCACCAGCGCCGATCATGAAGCGATTCGTCACGATTTGACGCGGCTCGCCGTCAGCGCTTTTGGTATCCGTGGCGTTCGATCAAAGGCGAGGTAGGTAAGTACACTGCCGTCATCAGTCGAGTGTGAACTGCAGCCGGAGCGGGGATATCGAGTGATGATTTCAGCTCGTTTTTCACTGATAGGTGGCCGATCGTGCTCGCGATGACGCTCGGAGCGTATGAGTCAAAGCCGTCGATGTGCATGCCGGAAGGAAACGATCAAAAAAGTGAATCTTCCTCCGACAGAGCCCTCTCAGCAAGGAAATCCTCTCCTCCGGGGCGATAAGGGCCGATAATGTTCTTCATTACTGACGAGAAGATCGATGCCGATTCATCCAAATTCGGAATTTCTGCTCCGGTGGGATTAAGGCTGAGTCCGGCAAGCGGAGGAACGCAAGGGCGTCGAAGTATAGCGCCAGCATCATTTGTCATCCCGTCAGAGTTGTCATCCGTGATTCGCCGACACGCCACAATGTTCTCATATGATGATAGGTGCAAGTTGCCGCTCAAAATGCCCAATCGACAAGAACAACAACAGCACAGTACGATAAGATGCTCTTCTGCGGTTCGCCGGACCGATCTAGGTGCAGCAGCATGCCTCCCCCCCCCGTCCCGTGCTCACGAAAGGAAGCCAGAGCACAGCGACCATCGAAGTGCTCATTATCAATGATTGTTATTGTTATTGTTATTAAGTCATAAATCACCATTGCTCATCATTAACCGAGTACCCGAGACGACGGCCTCACGAGAATCAGGTGGCCCTCAGAGGAGGGAATCTTCGACTTCCTCCGACCTTCGGAAATCTGCGGTGATCATCGAGCTTGCTCAAGACCGATATGAGACCTCGCGGAGGAGAGGATCGCCCGAAAACAAATCATTTCAGCGATGAAAACGGTGATGGATAGTCCCCATGGAGCGGCGCGACTTGGTCCTCCTAGTCACTTGCATCCATCAGGAAGTTTCCTGACAACTCACTCCTTATAGATGCCAAGACAGCTATCTCGGCGGGAGCACTCCTAACATGACCACTAACCTCACTAGAGTAAGTTTCGGACCGCCCTGTAGGCTAAGTTCCCTCTCGATTGACTTAAAAACCTTAGGGATCGAGAGCGATATAAAAGCGGAGCTCAGTGGCGGGATTCGAGGATTTGGCGCACGTTTGCAGGTGGTCTCAACTTGTGGACAACGAGAGATGACTGGGTGGAGTTTCCCCGGAGCAGTGGATGTCTGCGTAGATAACACTCTGCGGCAAGCTCCCGAGACTCAAAAACACACACAGAGACACATGTTCCCAGTATTGGACTTTTGAGAGAATACTTCTATAAATATTCTGAATCCGAAAGTCGAGTAGCATCAGCGCACCTGTGATCTGCTCAAAGCGTTATCCACCTCTGACCGGATTCCTCGCTGCGGAACGCTGAGCGAGATGAGCAACTCTCATTCGTATATTAACCTGACCTGTCGGTATCTTTATAGAGATAGGAGAGTCGTAACCAAGTATCTCTTTTTCATACTACCCGTACATCCGAGTGAATAGCTGGTTAGATCATGTTCTCGATGCTTTCACATTGGAGTGGTCGGTAACGGGCAGCGGGGTCAAGCTTCTATCGCTTAAGATCGACAATCGCCAATCCGGGAGAGGAAGAGATCATTATAGGCCGAAATTTCGGGCTCTCAAGCTATCGGACGATCTCCCGCTCCATCTCGCCAGGCGATGCTTCTTGGAAAATCCTCCGTGTCCGCGGAACTGTCTGGAGTCGCTCTCGACCGTAGCCCGCGAGCGATCTGTATATAGTCATGTACTCTTGAAATGACTATCGCTGACCACAAATCGGCGTCCGCTGTTTCGATCGCGGAACCAACTATCGTTCGTGTGGTCTCTCTCGTAGTCCACCTCCGGTCTCGACATTAGTCCATCGGAACGACTATTTCCCGTCAGACCGACCAGAAAGGAAAACTATTCGGATCGAATGACTCGCTGTCATCACCACCGTCTGCCGGGGGGACCACGTCGATGGGATTCCCCGAGATTGGGATGGATGCCAAACGAATCGAAATTAAACAGAACGGAGGGTGCTCCACCCGGTACATATAAACAGAATGTCTGTATCGGAGCATTCACGTCGGGGTATAAGCACAGCTCTGCTCGATATCAATGTCGAAACACAGATCACGCGGCTCTGATAGAGAATAATGAGGCCGAACACCAACATACGGATCGATCTGATTCATCAATCGCTCATTCTCCACGAGCTTCGCTGGCTCTTGTCAGCCAGTCGTCGTCGGATATGCCAATCAACGATTTGAATAGAAAAATTATTCGTATCATCATCACAAGATGTGACAGTGGGAGGCAGATCTGACGCTCTATGTGACATTTCTCGCAAAGTGAAGAACCGGGAATCGAGTACGCGAGGCAGCTGTTGCCGAGAGGAGTTGGGCACCATCCTTTCGAAGGAAGCGTTCGCGTTGAGTGTGAAAGGTCAGCAGCAGCGGCGGCGGCAGTCGGATAGCTCCAGGTCTTTCCCTCGGCGTTTCAGTGAGATCGCGGTGATGGCGACGTCGAAGGGGAGAAAATGCCAGAGCCAAACTTCAATTAGTAGCGACCTAGCGGCTGAGGCTCCGAGCTTCAACTCCACCCAACAACTTCCCCTACTCCCCTCTTGATTCACCTCCCAGTCGGCTAGCCCAACACCCAGACAAGCGTCTCCGCTTTCTTCGCCGAATAATGTGCTCCCCCGGATCGGGCGAATCGCTCGTTATTCCAACGACGTGAGGACAGAGTATTGTGACTTCTGCTCTTCTTGCTTCCCGACGGCCCCGGCATCTATGATGCGAGGAGCTATTCTCTCGACAAGGAGCGATTTCTGGGACATAACTAAAAATAGCAACGCTTAGCTCCGAGCTTGGGTGGACCGCTACTTTGCTTTCCCACGCAGTAAACATCGATTCACTTTATGGCGCACACGCGCACGCGTTCTTCCGCGCACGCAAGCCAGCAGGAAGATCCACCGACAGCAGTGAACACGCAGAAGTCCGCCATAGGATACACGGCGCCTACGGCAGTTGATAATCGACGTCGTCGGGAAGATAGCCGGGCGTAAGGAGTCACGAAGCCCTGGTGACAAGAGGCTCCTCACGAAGCCCTCCTCTATGGACTCACGAGTCCTTCAAGATGAGAGCGTGATATGCGCTGAGTTTTTCTTAGTCGCTCGAAACCCATGAGAAGAATGGTTCTGTTCTTTTGACAGCTCCTTCGGTCGTGTACATGCTACCGCTTTCGTTTCGCTCTCCTAGTTGTTCTGACAATGGTCTAAGTTTTGTCTCGAGTCTGACAAGCCGGTCGAAGTACTAGGCGAGCGAATGAGCGGCCTGCTGTTGGCTGACTAGCTGATTGGAAGACTAGCAGACTAGCCGGCTGGCTGACGAACGGACCTACTGCCCGGCCGACCGACTGGCTAGCTGACTTTTCGACCCACTGGCGGCCCGCTGATAGAGAAGGCGTGTGAGAGCAACTTATTCCAGAGTAAGTGAGCAACAGGCGATTACGAACCTTGGCGGGTTTCTCCCACTCGGAGTAGGCATGCGGTCATGGAGCAGAGTGTGTCCCCTCGCTCCGACGCTCGTCTCGATCGACTCAAGTCCGTGGCACGATTTCACACCGATCCATTGAGAAGAAGATGTAGCGCACGAACTACTACTCAAACAAAGGGAGGGGATCGAGCTCTGAAGTTTGTACACAACACACAACTCATCTGATCATCGCTCGCTCAGGGAGAGAGAGTCGAAATTCTTTGGGAGAGTCGGAGAGGAAGAGGAGGATGTCATGCGCCGCGCGGGAAAGGGCGTTCGAACTTGTGGCGGTCACTCGATATCGACGGCGCGGCGTTCAGTCAATATCCATCTTCATCGAACCGAAATCACAATCCTCCGATTCGCGCGGAAATATCGAATTTTCCGATATTATCCCGATTCTATCTCTATGAAGGGAAACCGTTCTCCCATGAACGAGTCAATGTCCACTCTGATCACACGAAATTCGTTTTCCAAACTTTTGATTCGCTACATTCGCGGGATCGCTCTCGCGCGAGTCTTCGCGTGTACAAATAATCATCTTCTTGACTCTTTTCCCGGATCGATCGAGGAGGTGGTGAGCTTAGCTTCCTCCAATGTCGGCCGGAAATAAGCGGGTGCGGATGAGAATGTTTTCGCCAGGATTTTCTCGATCCACTGTCTCGGATTACGCTAGGAAACAACGGCGATCAGAGGCAGCAGAACAAGCGCGCACAGTCGTATTTCGTACCACTATTATTATTATGCGACGTGTTTCTGCACGACATCCGCTGCTGGAAGCATCGAGGTGGCGGTTTCCGTGGGAAAGACAACAAGAGGCCGGCAAAATACCGTTAGGAAATCGTGTGTGCTGTATCTCGTGTTCGTGTGATTTGAAAGTTAGTTTTCCTCGGAGCTCATGGATCCTCTGCGGGATCTCAGGACCGCTCTGCAGTCGGGAGAGTACGAGGTCGAACGTTCGGGAGATGCTCGCTCCTCTGTTCAAACAGTGACGAATTTCGCTGATTTGGGGATAAATGACGATCTCTATCGAGCGATTTGTAAGATGGGCTTCCGAAATCCGTCCCGGATCCAAGAGACCGCGCTACCGATCCTGATGGAGAACCCGCCGACGAACATGATGGCTCAGTCTCAATCTGGCACGGGGAAAACCGCAGCTTTCCTGCTGGCAGCCTTGACCAGGGTCAAGGCAGAGAATCAATGGCCCCAAGTTCTCATCATATTGCCGACCTTGGAACTCGCGGAGCAAATCGCAACTCAGTGCCGACAGATGCTACAGTTCACATCAGGAATAGAAGTGCGCCACGCTGTAAGGGGTGAGTTCGACGTTCATGCCACCTTATTCCTTGTTCAGACTCTGTTGAGTTTAGTGCCCCGATATTCCTCAAATGTTCCCTCCTGGGGATGGGCGCCCCACCCTAGTGTAGAATTTCGGATCTCGTCTCGAACGCTGACGGTAGCTCTCTCTCGAGGCCTTAGGTCTTGGGTACCGCGCTCTTGGCGGTCGTCATTTTTTCGCTTTCGACATTCTGAGGAACACGTGCCGATACCATCGCATTCCAGACCCGGCTCGGTATCGAGCCGCGCCATGGAATATTGACGTTCTTCGCCAGGCAGACGCTCTCGGAGCGGCCTGCGAGGGGATAGGCCTTCTGCGGGGAAATCGGTGGATTTTTCGAAAGCACGCGGAAGTAAAACATTCCAGTCTTCTTCGCTATTTCAGGAGAGGTTCTCCCTCGACGTTTGACGCTCCGCGAACAAGTTGTCATCGGAACCCCGGGGAAACTGGCCGATTGGGCACTCCGACGAGAGCATTTCGACATAAAAAAGATTCGCGTTTTTGTTCTCGACGAAGCCGATGTCATGATGTCGGAAAAAGGTCATTACGTCGCCTGTATCAACATACACCGCCGGTTGGATGCAGACAACTGTCAGATGCTCCTGTTTTCCGCCACGTTCGATGCAGCCGTCATAACTCTGGCGGACGCCATTATAAAGGAACCATTTGTGAAGATCACCTTACGCACGGAGGAGCTTGCGTTGGGCAACATTTCTCATTACTATATGCACACGAGGAGCGAGAAAGAAAAGTTGGAAGCCATCAGTACACTCTACCAGCTACACAATATCGGTCAGGCCATAATATTTTGCAGAACAAGGGCTTCTGCATTCCGCATCGCCGGGCTGATGCGGGAGCTCGGCCAAAAGGTCGCGAGTCTACACGGGGAACTCGAACCATCAGAGAGACTCGCCATCATCGAAGGTTTCCGCAGAGGGAACCAGAAGGTCCTCACCACGACGAACGTCTGTGCGCGTGGGATAGATATCTTGTCTGTAACGCTGGTGATCAATTATGATCTCCCGCTCTCTTCGGATGGACAAGCGGACATCGAAATATACTACCATCGCGTCGGCCGTACAGGGAGATTCGGTCGACACGGGACAGCGGTGGACTTCATAAACCCCACTAACCTAATGGAAGTTGCCGCGTTGAAACAAATCGAGAGAGAGCTACGAATCGAAGCTCGATTCATCGATCATGAATCCTTCGAGTCGGTCACCTCGATGGAGCCGTCGCATTGAGGCGAGTTATTTCTCCCTGAGCCTGTCGTTTGAGCCAAAACCATCCTCAATCGAATCATGGGAGCCCAGGAAGGTCTGGGCGATACGGTCCCCGACGTGTTCCGGGTGGACGGTCCGCCACGCGAGTTTCATTTTTCTCTGGTCATGGGAAATCTTCTATAAGCGGAGCACGCTGGGTCTCGCTCCATTCTATCGCGTAGCGCGCCGACTTCATCTACTATATACGATAAATAAAGCATGGTTCTTTCCGAAGCTGAATCTGGTACTTATTTGCTCACAGAGTTCCCAACGTCGACCGGTCCTCTATCTGGGATCCTTGTCGTCGAGCTCTCCAAGAAACACTGGCGGCGAAGACAAGTTCTAGTGGATCACCACGAGGATTTATTCCGAAATTTTCCGTCTACAGTCGCGTCCCTAGATAAGCTACACGAACCGAGTCGCTATAGATATCAGCTTGTTGTATTGGTCTTTCTTCGCTCTCAGACTCATCGGCAGCGGAACGTAAATTCGATTCCCCAGGGGGTTGCCGCTGTCATCTATTAAAACCACATTGTTTGAATCGAAACGGGGTCTCAGAACTTCTTGGACCTTATGCTTTGCGCCGACCACAACTCCTTTTTTCTTCTCTCCTCTGATTGCCATCAGTACACGGTCACCCAAATCAGCTTTCCTCTTCTTGTTGTAAACATGGATAACCTAGGGGATTATTCGATTCCTTTCAGTATCATTATCGGGTTCACCTGAATTTCGCAGCACGAGCTATTTCGATGCTTCTCGAAACGGAGCTAAGCGACGTTCCGGAGATGCTTTGAGATGGAATTACCTTCGGTGGTTTCCCTGCTTGCATGGCTTCTTTGCCTATCTTGGAATTGTCCACAACTCTCAATCGAGTGCAGGTCTGTATGTGCAGCAGACACGACGATGTACTACAAGAGAACGGATTGGAGAAGTTTATTCTCAGCTTCCCGAGATTTTCTACACGCACCGTACCGCTTCGGAGTGGGAATTAGGCGGACAGATAATCGGTTTTGGGACAGATAGATCAATAACCTGAAAGCAGATCGCATCTGCGATGTGAAGAACGACATCTTGAACACAGTTCAACCAAAGATGTGCAAGAATTTCATGGAAGTCTCCTCAGCGCGAATCTCGACCCCGTCGGCAGTCAGCAGTGCCGAGTTTCGGCTCGAACGTAAACATCGACACAGACGATACCCGGAGGAGTCGTGTCTTGGACGAGACGTTCAAACATGAGATGTTTTCCCTAGGCCCAAGGGTTGAGGGAGGCGAGGAATCTTGCTGAACCACGCCGATACTCCTGGATTTGCCGACGATGCCCGAAGGGTATTTGTTGGGCCCCTACGATACAAGAACTGGTAGTCAAGGACTTTTCAGAAGGCTTCCGAGAATGTCGGAGTTGGTCAATGGTCGAGCGGGCCGCGTGGTTCCAGCTTGGGGTCTGACCAGAGTTGGCTTGAAATCCCTGAATGCCATCGAATGAATTTGAGAAGCGGACTCACAAGCCGAATTATGATTACCTAGCTGAGGGCCATGGGAGCCCTGAGCTCCGGCGGACTTCGACGGGGCGCGCGAACCTAGATCCTGTCTTGAAGATCGGAAATTCTCCATGTGAAGCGGGGAGAGAATATCACTCAGACATCACGAATCACGGAGCGGCATACCGGAAAGGAGGATACTTGGTTTCTCAGCGAACCTTCCCCCCCCCCTCCCAATGATCGAACCAATTCTCATTCCCGAAGCTGACTAGCGATCTGGAGAATATTTTCGCGATTACCCCTGTAGCCGAGGAGCTCCGACGAAATCTGTGAGTTCAGCACGCGAGAGAGTTCGCCGTAGTTTTCGGGAGCAGCGGAACCTGCGAATCGATTCATCGATCATTGATTTCGATCGCCTCGACTCAGAGGTGCGAAGTTTTCCTGATTCCAATCCAGTGTAAGAGACCAGGATCCCCGTTAGACGCTGGAAATCGGGACATGGATGCATAATATTGATAACAATCTGGCTATTCGGTTGGGAACCTTTTTATGGAGCTTCAATGTCAAAATATCTGTACAATCTCTTGTTTAGTCTGTGAATTACTGCTCTCGAAGCCGAAGTTTGATACGGGATAACAAGTTGAAATGTTGGAGATGGGCTAACAAGGGAATCTTCGCCAGGATATTCAATCAAGGCTTCACGTATTCACGACCACAAACTGCGTCCTCGATTCCTCGCGATGAAATGACTCCCTGACGGGGTTGGGGCTCCGCTATTAGAAACGCTTCTTAAGGTAGAGGTCGGCGGAGAAATAAAACGGTGTCGGCCCTTGATCTAGCGAATCGACGAGCCGCTAAATTCAGATCGTCATCATCGTCTGATGCCGCCGAGAACATCTTAAAACGGAATCGGATCTCAGTAGGTATCAATCAGGGCTAATCAGGAGTCATACTCGGTAAGGAATCGCTTACTCGGTTCGTCAGCGAACTACACGGTTATTTTGTACCTATTTTCAAGCAAAGGGGACGCGTCGTTTTCAGTTTTGGCCCCACCTCCCATTGTTCTCACTCGGTTTCTCACTCTCGGATCCACGGTCGCCCCGAACGCTTGTCTGAGTAGTAATTTATGCTTATCGACAATTTTCGTGAGCTCTCCCCATGATACGAACAAATACATTTACGATCATGGCAAGATTTCCGAGCCTAATCTCACCAATGAACTTCTACGCTAACGCGTTACCTCACGACTCTACTGCCTTGCATCAGATCGGATCTGGCTCGCACGCACTCGGCAAGTTCCCTCCTGGCACATCCTCCGACGCAACGGATTTTGGTTTCGATTTTCTCGGTTTTTGATTTTCCCAAGAAAGACAGAACTTCTCCCCCCCCCTGCATCGCTGCCGAATCCCGAACTCCGAGAAGCTCGCTCGACCGTGTTCAGAGCGAGGTTTCACTCAGCCGTCTTAAATCACGACGGGAATTCCCCGCGTATCGACCGATATTGGTTCAACGTTTTAAGTTTGGGCTGCCCACGTTCGGATGATCGAGTCATGCATTCCTATCCTTTCTAAAGTCAATTTGCTAGAATATCAGGAATGAGGGAACTATCAACCGCAACTCCCGTACTCAGTCGAGGCTTAAAACTTGAAATGTTCATGAGGGGCTTCGGCGTCCCCTTGGAATTGATAGCTATGAGCGTCGGCGTCGGGCGCCAGTTCCGGAATGTCGTACTGCTCTTCGGAAAAGTACTGCTCGATGATATCGAAAGCGATTTTGTAGATGTCCTCGTTTTCTGAGTTCTGCAGGTTTTCGATCTTATCCAAGCCCCCGCATTCTTCGATCTGCACTGTGATTGGGGGAAAAGTCGTGGGACCACTCGGAGAGTATTTCAAGAGATTCGTCAGAGCGTCGAGGACGACTTGTTGGACCTGCGCGTCGTGGCAGTCGAGGAGAGAACACAACGGGGGAACCACTCCTTGATGGATCAAGTATTCGATCTGTTGCGGCGAACCCGAGATCGTCAGGTTCGAGATGGCCCAAGCGGCTTCTTTCTTCGTTTGGAAGTCGGCCTCCGCGAGATGTTTGAGAATAGGTGGTATTAGTTCCATGTTGACAACGGCTTGAACTTGACTCTGATTTCCGGCCGTGATGTTCGATAGGAACCAGACCGCTTCTTTGTTGATTTTCTCTTTCGGGTGCTTAAGTAAATCGTGGAAGTAGTTGAGAGCACCCTTGCTCAGCACAACTTGGGTCTGCTCATCGTTTCCTGTTGCGATGTTGCCCACGGCTCGGAGTGCGGCTGCCTGAACCTTCACTTCGTTGTGACCAAGATGAGGCACCAGGAGTTCGACGAGCCCACTGTCGATGACCATTTGAATCTGAACATTGCCGGCGTCTGTCAGGTACGAAACAGCCCAGATGGTATCCACGAGAATGTTGGTGTCCTGGTGGTGGATGAGTAAAGAAATGGCTGGAAGAATTTCCTGGATGGTTTGATTGGGCGGAGGGGGATCTTTGTTCCGGCATAAGTTCACCAAGACCCACGTCACGTTACGGAGGAACTGGAGAGAGATGTTTGGAGTTATTAATCGTAGGAGAGGTTTCACAACACCAAGCTGAATGCAGTAATCTCTCAGCTGGGGTCCATCGCCGATAATGTTACCCAGGGCCCAGACGGCCTGTTCGCAAACGTTCATGTGGTCGCTTTCCAGAAGCTCCAAAAATCGAGGGACTGCCCCGGCATGTACAACTGCGCGGGTATGGTCTGAGGTGCCCGATGCGATGTTGGTCAGAGCCCAGGCCGCTTCGAATTGGAGCGTCGACTGATCTTTCTGACCGAGGCAATGTACGAGGATTGGGAGAACGCCGGTCTGGATGAGGTTGTCGATCGGTGGGTTTCTGTCGGAGGAGAGCAATTTTCTCACGGACTGTACGGCCGACAGCTGGATATTGGGATCACTCGATTGGGCGTCTTTGACGATTGCCTCGAGACGGACGAGCGCTTTCTGATCGTCGTTATTGGCGTCGAAGTCCTCGTCTTCTTCCGAGCCTCCGAAGGCTGCGGTCGGCACGTTTCGCCGTTTGAGGAGACTCTCTTCCCGTTTGTTTTTGCGAAGCTCGGTGGAAACTTCGTTTCGCCGTCTCCTCATCTCATCGGTGTCTTTACCCTTATTCTTGTAAATTCCCAAGCGGGACTTCGAATCGCTTGAAGACGACATATTTCGGTTTTCGGTGAGCGATCCGCTCGAGATCTTGCCGCAGTTCGGGCGGGATGAAGATGACTCAATGAAAAAGGAGCAGCGACTCTCACGAGTCGGCAAAGCACACCTGGCTTGTTTGTTGCTGCTAGTGATGATGCAGATACAGGAGCAGGAGACGAAGGAGCGCGCCCGGCTCTATCGGCGCTAGAGATCGGATTTTTCCCGGGGGCAGAGTTTCCGCGTTCGCAATATACCACAGACGTCGGATTCCGTTTGAAACGTTAGGAACAGAGATACGTCGTCGTCGACGAGACGAGCAGGAGCCGCAGAGTACCGACGACCATATCCGCCGAGGGAGTTTCGTCTGCTTGAACCAAGCGGCTTTGCCCTTGGACTACTGCACTGTCCAACGGCGGTAGTAGCATCCTTGCTGATTAAGCATCTCACCGGATCTCCTCCGGTCCCGATTCCTGTCCGAGTCTCGTTTATAGGCGGGAATGGTCGCGTGTGCAGAAGTTTCCTCTCTCGTTACGCCTCGAGACCAAACCCGGGAGCCCCGAGACTACCCAATTGACAGATGCGAGGTTCGAGCGCTGAGTAGCGAGTCAGCGCGAGTCGCTCCCTCTTCGAAGGGAAGCCCGCTGTCCGGCTCGCTGTCTCGATAGTGGATCGCAGCCGCCCAAGGTCCGGCGTGCGCGACGGCAAGACCCATCGCCGTGGCTTTCGAATGATTCTGCGGTTTGGGCTTCCGCTTTCAAATCCATCGGCGGCCCATACCGTGACTTCGACGGTTAGTATCCGCGGAAAACGGAGCAGGAACGCCCGAAGCCTGTAATACTCTCGGGAAAGATCATCGTCATCATTGTCCACACGGGCCCGTACTCGATTTACGAATTTTTCATCCATCCTGCGTTCAGGTGTCCCTCCCAAACTCGGAGATTGCTCTATTGCGCCGTATACGGGTCAGAAATTTGTTTAAGCCAGGAGAACGACTTCGAACCTTGCAACTGCCCTCCGCGAACCACAACTCACGCGGCCAGAGTGGCGCGCTGGAGAAACTGACCCACGTGTGCTTTGTTGTTCTCTGGAACCCGTCCAGCGGCACTTGACGATACCGCGGAGAGGAATTCAAGGAGAATCACCGTGTATGTCTAACCTTTCGTTGTGAAGATTCGACTCTTTGTCGACCTGTGATCAGCTTGAAGCCTCGGGAATGCTGCACCGCGTTCGAATATACAATCCGACACCGGTGGCAGCCAAATGCCTCGCGGGTGCGCCGGGTCAATTGGCTCTGGGCAGAGAAGACGGCACGATCGAGATCTGGTCTACGAGGTATTCGCTATTCTGTGTGAACATCTTTGACACTCCGTACAAATGCGTCGAGGCTCTTGCCTATGCGGAGAGCCCGCACGAGAAGAAACAATTGACTTTGTACTCCACTGGAATCGATGGCCGAATAGTGAGGTGGGTCTCGAAACTGAAATTCCTATCGGAATATCACTCGTTCGTAATTTTCGCGGGACCGACAATCCATACGATCAGTCCGCGATTTACGCGACCCCGATAGATAAAAGTGTTTCTGAAGACTGTTCTTCGCCGCAGGTATAACTCGCGCGGAGGTACGGAGGAAACTCTTCTCATCTCGGGATCGCCAGTTTGGTGTCTGGAAGCCTCTCCATCCCGCAGAAAACTCGCGGCCGGCACTGAAGACGGTTTCGTTCACATCATTGAGACAAATCAAGACATTCTGGTCACATCGAGAAGACTTCAACAGAAACTAGTTGGTACGAGACCGGTCGGCGTCATTCGCCGTCTCGCTCTATGCGCTCCATTCACTGCGGATAGTATGTACATTCTATGACTTCGCAATCATCACTATTGATTCCTCCGGCAGGTCGGGTTCTCTCGTGCTGCTGGTTTTCTTGCGAGACTCGGCTCGCGACCGGGTCCCAAGACTCGCTGAAAGTATGGGACTTGGAGAAGGAGAGAGCGATTGAAACTATGCAGCTGTCCAGGGTCTTCAAGAAAGAACAAGCGCTGGTTTTCAGCGTGGTGGTTATCGAAGACGGACGTACGGTTGTCTCCGGCGATTCTTTCGGGAGAGTCATATTTTGGGACGCGGGTACAGGGAGCCAGATTCAATCGATGAAACTCCACGCTGCGGACGTGCTCATCCTGCACGCCACCGGGAACGAAGTTTACGCTTCAGGGGTGAGTGGGGAAATTCTTTCTCGGCTCGCTTATTGTCCTTCACTAAGAGATCAATTAATTATTGGTTTAGTTTTTGACTCGAGGGATATTCGGGATTCGCTGCCGAGCTACGGCCCCACACCCCGCATACATGGTACTTCGACAGTGTTCTGATTTCAATCTTGTTGTAGGTTGATCCCGTGATATTCAAGTTCTTCCGAGGAGAAGGTCACTGGCTCCATCAGAAAATCACCCAAATGCACACGCACGACATACGGGCAATCTGGACCGAAGACGATCGACTCTTCACCGCGGGCGTGGATGCGCAGCTCGGAGTTGTTCACTTAAACTCCCAGAATCTTCACTTTCAAAGAATTCTTCCCCCGTCGTACTCAAGAAACATCCAAACTCACGAGAACCTTATTCTGTTGAATTACGGAGCCAGTGTTGAGTTGTGGACAACACTTCCCAAGGACAAGATCAAGATGCTCGTGAATTTGAAAGCTCCCAAAAGTTCCCCCTTCCGATACTCGACCCTATGTCGATCGTCTTTCGCTGTTGCCAACGACAGGAAACTGATGATCTATAAGTTCTCGCTGTCGAAGGACAACCAATTGGAAAGCGTCGAGAAAGTATACACTACGGAGCTCCCCGAAACTTGCCCACTGCAGAGCATCCTGCTAAGCCCTTCCGGTCGGAGATTGTTTTGTGCCTTCCAAGACGGTCGTCTCCAGATGGTGAACGTCGCTGAAGAGACCATAGAAACGAAAGCGATGCTTCCTGCCACTCCCATCACCTGCTCGGCTGTCGGATCCCACCTGGTTGCTTTCGGGGACGTGCAGGGCAACGTCTCCCTTTACGACCATGACCTTAAATTCAAGTGCACGACACCTTCGAGCTCGGCGACTCCGGTGTCCCTCCGTTTCGAGAACGACAGACTGTATGTGGCGAATAACGATCTCACTTTCTTCGAGTTCTGTACGAAATCCGAGAAGTACGCGCTCTGGAGCGACAATTGTTTGAAAGCGTCCGCATTCGAGGAGAAGCTAGCGCAGATACGCAAAAGCATGCTGAGCGCTGATGGAATCAACGACATTGTGATCACTCCGACCAACGACGTTTTGTTGGGCTTTGAGGCCAAGGTATTCCATGTGAAAAAATCCCTGGTGCCCGCCGATCTGAAGCAGGGCATGATTGCGAGCCCTGATTTTTTGAATGCTGTCAAGTTGTGGCGACATCATGACGATGTGGCCGTGTGCGAAATCAGCGGGAGTCAGCTCGTGTCTCAATTGCCGCCTATCCTCAAGAAGAAACGATTCGTTTAAGTCGAAGGTCCGTACTTTATGAACTCTGTCGGGGAACTTCCGGATCCGAAGGTCTCGAATGGTAACGGGATGGCGCTGTAAATAACGGATTGTACAAAGCTGTTGCAATTTGCGTTTCTGGCGGAACAATAAAAGCGAGCCGATCATTTAGCGAGCTAATTTCTCCTTTCTCGCGAGCGTATGAGCCATTATCGGTAGGAAGAGCAAGTGTAGGCGAGATTGGCGGGACAGTTCTAGGTGAAAGGCAGGAGAGCCTCGAAATATCAGCAGATTTCTGCTCTTATCGGCGAGATCGGAATGATTCTCACGTGATACCATCGTCGTCCCGTGCCCCCGTCTGTGCGGTGGACAGGGATACACCTCAGAGGCAAGAAGACCCGGTCCGGTCGAACGTAATGGATAACAAGCCGGGCTGCACAAAATGGGCTCTGGAGCCCTTCAAACCCAGTCTGCAGCGCGATCGGGAGATTTAAAGTCCTCCGATGCTCTCTACCGGGATATTGTCGTCGGAACTTCGGTTTCGGCAGGTGCCGATGTCACCGCCCGGGTCGGCTAGGGTCTACTCAACAAAGATCATCATTATTTCCATCATCATTCTCCTCCACCCGTTCAGAATTGGAATTTTTGCAGGGTTCTCATTCGCGTTTCTCGGAGAGCCGATCTCTGAGAGTTAGCATGATGGGTATCTTCCCGATCTCAGGGTACAATATCTTGAGTACAAACGCCCGAGGAGTCAGTAACTCGAGCCGCTGAGGCTACGAGCTGATTTCGGCTCTAGTAAGTGAGGAGGGGCCTATGCGCCGCTGCCGCCATCATCGCAGCGGCGGCATAAGCAGCCGCTACGGCCGCCGCCGCGACAGCAACAGCCACACAGAGACAACATAGCAGCAGCAGCAGACGCAGGATACAAAGGTTGGTGGTAGTCAGCTCTGCTGTTCTGTTGCTTCAATAACAGATACGAACATCAGCCGGAATCGCACGACTGAGTCCGAGAAGTGAGAATACAAGAGAAGGCTCCATTTGCACAAGTGGACGCAGTCCGCGCAAGCTCAAGGTATCATCATGAGAATAATTCTTCGGAAACACTCGTGCAAGAGCAGTGGCGGTGATCGAGCCGTCCGATGATCCCAGAATCGAATCGGAGGGGATAGGAAGGAATTCGCTCCCCGTAAGCTCCCCTCGGGCAAGGGAGCTGTTTTCCCGACTGAGAGAGCGAGCTCTGAGCGAAGACCGCCCATTCGGTTCCGGGTCGGAGGACGAGCTGCGGTGGGAAGTTTCATATTTGTGACGGATTGAAGGATATCGGTCCAGCCCAGTCAGGCGATCACTTAGTTTGTCAGATCAAACTCGTAACTGCTGCCTCGCGAGCGGGCTGCGCAACAGGCGGATAGTTCTAACGATCGAGGATCGGAGTTCGCCCCTCGATCGAACTCCCATCGGGGGTCAAAACGGTTCAAGGCGAATTTCAGCGCAACCTGATGATAAGAGATATTCCGGTCGAGTGCTGAGCGAGGCCATAGTAGGATTCCCGTGGTTGGCATTCTTAGCGCCAAACCTCAATCAAGGCCTCCGGTGTGCGTACGTGCCTGTACGTGTGTGCTGTCGCTCGTGGCCAATTGTTCAGCTGGTCATCCATTCGACGATGAGGAGATCATGCTGTGATTGGTTTACTAATGGCACGTCTTTATCTCCCCAGGCTTCCAGTTTGAAGATAAGTAGTTACATCCATCGATGCCTTCCCTCTCGTCAAGATGTGGGGATCAGAAAAACATATCCTCGACGCGGTGAGTACAAATACTCAACTTCGAAGATAGCGATTTTGAATCTCCTGAAGCTCTAAAATTCATTATCATGCGCTGTGCGAGCGGTAGTTCACTCCGGTCTCCCCCCTGGGAGGGCCAGCTCCTTTTCCCTTTGATAAACCGGGGAACTCCGGCTAATGGAGACATGTTGTGTCCCTACCCGAGAGGGACGAGCTCCCAGTGAATCTGCCCGCTGCCCGCTTTCTGGTCGCCGAGCTATCTGTGTCTGTTCGTCCGAGAAACTATCAGAGTCAACGAACTCAGGGTCCAGAACAAACAGTAACCATTCAGTGGATCTCTTTATTGCCCGGAACGAACCGCGGCTCCTCCATGCATTATCCAATCATTCATCCGGCTGGTCCCTCTTCCACCTTCATGGTGGTTAGGCGTTGAAGCTCTCAGTGAGCACAATTCGCGGGAAAAAAATTCAGTCGGGCAGCTCTGGCTGAATTTGACGACAGTCCGTCGTTTCACTTCCCCACGCGATCAAATAGGGTCGCAATCCGTGAGCATCTCCTCATGAAGAGGTCACTATTGCCGATTCCGAGGTCCCTAGGCCTAACTCTCCTCCCGCTCTCGATTTTGCAAGGAAGAGATAATCTGTGAGGCGACAGAGCCGGGAGACGCGTTGAGCTGATTCCGGGGAGAAATGAACGAGGGATACAACCTTATCGTTCCACCTCGAGTTTGTATTCCGTACCGTGTGAACGCCGAAGCACTATCAGCTCTCAACCTGCCGCTGCGTCGTTAGCTTAGAGATCTGACTCTGCACATAAAGCCATTGTCCACGTAGAAAACGCGAGGAAACACGGCGGATCGTAAACGGCAGAATGACAGGCCTCTGTCCGAGGTAGCCGTGGAGGAAATCCATGGCTCAGTCGGTCGAGTCGGTTTCCACGCCATGCGGCTGCTCCATTTTGGCAATTCTCCCGCATTAGGTAGCTCGCGTTTCAGTGCTTCGAGAAACACTCGATTCCCGGATTCCCGATTCCGGCTCCATTCAATTGATTCCCTCCCGCGTGCCGTCCCTTGGTTGGTTACGTTCGCTGTCTCGACTTTACCAAGCGGAAGAAAGAATCTAGTGTCAAAACCCTTCCGTCCAACGGCTGGGAGTGGCGAAAATTTTTGTTCTACGGATCCCTGGATCGTTGTCGTTTAACAGCTCTGCAGTTTGCTGCCGACGGCTGGGTGCCAACGAGACTGCGCAGAAATTCACAGAGAATCCTTGCATCTCCCGTTTATCCTTGCTACGGGTTGGCCGTGAAGCTCTCGTGGGCAGTTTGTGGGCAGCCGTACGACGACGACGACGACAACATCAGCCGCATCAACACGAAGACGGCGTCACCGTGAATTCTTAGGTCGACGTTCATTTTCTTCATAATCGTGTCGGGACTTCACCATGATCGGAGGGCCATGCATGGACTGAATATCCCTCGCTACGCTCTTCGATCCTCATTCCGATAAGGGTGACGGAGGGTGATGGTGATTTTTTGCGCAGCTCATCAGTCGTGAGCGAGCTGCTTCCTCGATGATCGGGAGTTTTGAACGGGAACGTCTCCAACACCCCGATTACGGACGAACAGGATTCGCCTGGGGGAAAACAGCGGGTTCCCCGTAATTGGGTCAAGGCGTGTACGGCAGTCTGAAAATTTAAACGGCCTGTCACTTCTGGAGTGAAATGAAGTTTCGGTCCCGGAAGTATTCTCCAACCGTCTCGAATCAGCTGAACGCCTTCATGTGAACAGAAAAACTCTGATTCGAAGGCTGTGTCGTGAGCTGCTATGAAATCGTCGCGGGAATCCGAATATGCCGATTTTCATCGTCAGAGTCCACATCGATCTGTTGGAGAGCCGTCCAGATCGAAGATTTAAATTCCATGCAGACGTAGCCCGGAAGGTCAGTCTCTCGTATTTTTCGCAAGAATGTATCGCCCCTCGGTGGACGATTTCGACTGTCGAAACCGGTCGAAGATTGAAGTACTACATCCGGTCACGGCCTACAAGAACCGGGTGCGGCGTTGGTTCGGAAATTTGGTCGTTGGTCGACCGGTCAGGCGAGCAGCGAGGCCTTTTCGGCGACAACTCAGCTCACGGTTCTTGTTTCGAGCTTATTCCCGCAGCCGTGAGCGTGATCTCCGATGTTCACAATCCGTCTCCAAGCACGACGAGCTATCGCTGATCGGAAGCCGTGCTCGGAGTTGCGGCTCTTCGACGGTCCGTATCTTCGACCATAGACGCGGGGAGAAAAAGTATTCGATCCGCTTTTCAAGAAGAATGCCTCGGATCCGAAGGTCTCCGTGGTAGAACAAGTCGATATTCGTTGCTTCAGCCTGGTTTCGGATTCTTCTCGCGAAGGTCACATCCATGTTTGAGTAAGAATAGATCGCAGAAACTCGCGCTGAAGAAGACCTCTTCAAAACGTAATTTACGTAGTTGCGAAATGTACTCGTCGAAGACAGGCCTTGCTAGTTTGAGTCGTAGGAGGGAGCTGCTCTGGTCTGAGAGCCAGTCTCGATTACTCTGGATTCGAGCTCGGTCGCTTCCGCGCGAGTTCTGTCTCGAATTATATTCTATGATGATGATGATGATGATGACCGACGAGATGATCGGAGCATTAGGAGCTCATGTGCAAAACGCGCTTCTCCACTGAAGAGCGAAGATAGGCTTTCCCCGGGACTACATAGCTCCTCGAGGGGTTTCCATTAGAGCTCTCGGAGGTTCCCTTTCCGAGCAGGTCCGAGTGGAAAGCTCGATCCGGACCCCAGGGAGAAAATATGTCTCTGGAGTAAGCGGCGGAAATCAATCATTGGCATCCGTCCGCGGACACTTTATATCTTCGGTGCTGTAGCGGACGTTCCGAGCGTTCTCTGAAAATCCCGCGGTGGCAGCGATGCCGCGCAGGTCGCGGATCGCTGTCGGCTCCAGAAGATACAGGCGTCGATCAGTCAGGAGCTGTTTTGGAAAGCCCGATCGTGGTACTGCGGGTGCGCTTCCGAATCGTAAACGAACGTCTAGCTGCAGCGATGATGCCAAGGTTTACCGACGCTGAGGAGGTTCCACACTGACGTGCGATATAGGAAGCAGAGCGTCGGAAATCAGATTCGGAGGCACAGTGATGTCGATCGCCAATGTCGAATCGTCCTCAGGAGCCACACAGATCCGGAACCGCTCGTCGGCTATTGTCAGAGCGGCGCTTTCAAACGATGGGCTTTCTTCGTCACCTTCCTGGTCCGCTTCAAGAAGCCCTCAGTGAGAGCAGCTCCGCAAACATCGATAGAGTCTACTCGACGGATCACTGACATTATGATGAAGGAATGAACGCGTCGGCCATCTTTCCATTAGCGGAATTCTCCTTACTCGATTCCAATGTTCGCTCCAGATCTGTTTCGATATGATCGAGTTTTTTTTCGAGCAAAATCTCTCTTCCGCAGCCTCATCTGATCCAGTCGATTTTTCTCAACGATCCCGGCCAACTTGCGAACGAGATCGAGACCTCCCCGCTACCGGATGGACCCAACTTCGCAGACGAGCAACGGAGGTCTCTGCTACACGCGGCCGCTTTCTGTGGCAACGTATACATCACCCGCTACCTCCTCGAAAAGGGTAAGCTCCTTCAGATTGTTCTGTCGTCCTGCCTTGAGCTCAGAAAAAATCTGATACATGGATTCGCGTGGAATCCCACCAGCTGGAGCCCGGAGCCGTACTAGGTTCACACCTCATCGTCACGGATGCAGACTTCAGCCATGACGTGTCCTCCGCTGGCAATCTGCATCGATAGGGAGGGATTGGAGAGGATCGCGAAGCTTGCGAATCGGAATTCACCATCAGAAGGAGACAGCGTACGAGCCGCGATTTTTTGGCGCTCGCCTCGGACCGCGCGCGTACCATCTTCTGTGCGTAATCCATTCTCGAGTGGAATGATACGTTTACGCGCGCGGAGATAGAGAAAGATTTGGGTCCACACTCGAGATCTGCCGAGTCCTGATTACATTTTTTGTCATGGAAAATACATGACAAGACGTCGACTGTCCGGTAATCTATCGCGAGACGATCGCAATGAATGATAGTGGGTCTTCTGTGCCGAGCCACGGTCATAATCGGCGTCTTTCGAGCACCGAATAGTTTCAAATGCTTCCAGTCCGTATCTTAATCGACCGTTTCAAGGTCGAGTCACTGTCTGAGTCTTTCATACAAGTGGAAACGACCGCAGCCTCTGCGATCAAACGAACGTTGATTGAATAATTAAAACCCTCGTCCTCGCTGATTATTATTCAGGAGTCCAATTATTTCCCATTCTGAAGTAGATGATGGCATCTTCATTGTGGATAGAGAATAATTCATTTGTACGCGAGGTGGGTTTGCGCGACCGATTCGGCTCGAATAGTTTCGAAACTTCTACTCAGCTTCGTGTGGTCGTTGCCATCAGCCGACTTGTATCAGTGAATGGACAGATGTATAAAAGAAGCAGAAGCTCAACCTCGTGGCCGCTGCCGCAGGATTGGTTTCAGAGCGAAATATTGAACGATCATTCAGTTCAGCCTCGAGTCTGAGAACGAGACGGATGTCTCCCCGGCTTCACGGTACGCGCCGCCGGTAACGAGCTTTCTAGATATTGAACTCTTCCGGAAGAAGCCATTCTGTTGGAATTCGATTACTAACTCACGTCCTGATCCGTCCCCTGAGGGCTCTTGTTGTGAAGAGATCGGAGCAAGGTGTCTCTGAAACCAGATCCGATCGACAGAAGTATCGAGAGTCTCCAATTCTGTTCGCCGCTTTCGCACTTCGAGAACTGCCTCCTGTCGTGAGCGGACGTCTTTCATTTTCTGAAAAGCGTGGGCGTCAGCTACGAAGATGGGTGGTGACGATCAGACAGCTATTGACACTCGTGCGTAGCTGATCTCCGAAACAGGAGGTTATGAGCTCTATGGGACTTTTCGAGCGACAGAGATGGAGGAGGATGTTGATATTGATGTTGAAATTTTCGCTCCGAGCCGGAGTTTTTTTTCTCGAACTTGGCGTTCTGAAAATCAATTATCGCTTCCGCCAATCGAGTAGCTCTGAGATCGGGATAAACGCCTATTTAGAGCAATTTCAGAAAACGCGTGTATCAGCCGTGTGACATGAACATTCCTTTCCCCAGGAGCGCGGGTTAATGCGAAGGACGTGTCCTGGATAACTCCACTCCACCGAGTGTGTTGTCGCGAGGAACTCCCCGGAAGCCGACGCGATGAAGAAGTCGTCAAACACGACCTAGGCTTCGAGTTGGACAAACCGTCCCCCCCGAATCAGAGGATTCCTCCCGGGGGAGGGCTGTCCACCGACGAACCCGTCCCACATATGACTATCAGCCATTTTCCAAATGGAACGACAGACATCAGTGGTAAGTAGCAGAGCAGAGTTCTTGCCACCCGCAGAGCCAGACCTCTTCTCCACCGAATTCCAATGCACGCCCGACAAGAAGCGTGCTCTTTGATAAAAGGGCACATATTGTTAGAGCACAGTCGATCCTACGTTCGATTGATCTCGTTCGTGGGTATTACGTCTGAATCAGCCGTCAACGACGATCCGTTGCGAGCAGGTCACGACCAGCCTCCAATTTGAGAGCTGTTCTGACAGGGGATTTGTACTCCTGGCCCTGACGCTGGGTCTGAGCGGATATTGGGATTGGGTGACTCCCAGAGGCCGGAATCCAAACAAGCGGTTCCACGAGAAATACGCCAAGTCACTGGTGCTTAATCGAAGAAACACGAGTCGGATCTAGACACGAGATTGAGAAAACCCATCCCGATTGATTTCCAGGTAACTCCATAGTCGAAAATGTTTCTCCCATCGGCGAGAGCCAATTCTTTTCGAACGGGTCCGATTGGATGAAAACCGACAACTCCTCTCGGAACGAGAACTCAATCGGACTTGTGAGATGCAATTCGCACAGCTTTCAAGGGAATACGTCTGCAAAAGATCAAGCGCTCAGCCTAAATTCTTTTATCGAGGACGAGGAAGATTGGGGTCCAAACTACGGCGAGACTTGCACCGTTCTTTTAGAAGCGGGTGCCGATGTCAGCGCTCGGGATAAACTCTGGCAGACACCTCTGCACGTCGCAGCGGCAAACAATGCGCTCACGTGCGCTGAAGCGATTCTGGCGCACCAAGAGAAAAAGCAAAACACCGCTCACAATTTCAACTTCCTCGACATATCAGACAAATTCAATCGTACCAGTCTCCATCATGCCGTTTTCAACGGCCACGTCCAAATGGCTCAACTTCTACTTGAACACGGAGCAAACCCGGACATCCTCGATAAGAAACAGAGAAGACCCGCACACTACGCCGCATTTTTAGGACACGAAGAGATGCTCAAGCTTCTCGTGCATTACGGTGCGCAGCTGGAGGTTTTCGATCAGGACCGTCTGACTCCTCTGCACGCGGCCTGTGCCGGCGGCCGAGTGAACGCGTTACAACGGTTGCTCTCTATGGGAGCGCGATTAGACGTCATTGATTCCAAAGGAAACACCGGACTGCACATCTGCTGCTTGAACGGCAAGGCAGATGTTGCCCAGAGCCTCATTGCAGCTGATTGTCCTCTCTCTGCGAAGAATCTACTCGGTGAGTTTCTCAGCGAGTGCGATCCGCCAACCCCATTACCAGCTATATCATAATCAATATCCATGAGGTTCTCATCCACTCTCAGGTTACACGCCGCTGCATTACGCGGCTGCGTCCACTCACGGGGGTACCTGCGTCGAAATTTTGCTAAACATGGGAGCCCTCGTGAATGCCAAAAGTGCGTCCGGACGCACCCCTCTACATATGAGCGCCATCCACGGTCGTGTCACCAGAGCCCAGAACCTTATAAGTGCAGGGGCTCAGCTCAACACGGCAGACAGGTGAGAATCCCTGGCGAAAAGGAGAAAAAATCGCATCGCCGAACCGGTGTACGTAAGTTATGCGGCTTAGCTCATTCTGACTCCTTCGATCGCTTTCCAGGCAGGGCCTCACAACCCTCCACATCGCTGCCAGATACGGACACGAACTCCTGGTGCAATGTCTCATAAACAAGGGCGCCAACGTTGCTGCTACCTCTCGTGACGGGAGCAGCGCGCTTCATCTGGCTGCCCTGTACGGCCACTATGCGGTCTGTCACAAGGTCAGCTTCGCGATTTTCTAAAAGTGTAGCCGTGTTGAAACGTCTCATGATTTTCTCTTTTCATCGGATAAGAATTCTGAATTCATCCCGAATTCTCGCGACTCACGATGCATTTATTTGGCGAAACAGCTGCTGTCAGCTGGAGCCGACGTTCTCGGTAGGGATAACCAAGGCAGAACTCCGATCCATTGCGCTGCGTTTGCGGGAAATCTGGAGCTTGCGGTGGTTCTAGTTAACGAGTATCTCAATAACGTGGGAAACCAGTTTGCGAAGCGAGCTGCAATCGATGCCATCGTCGACATAAATGGTGAGCTGAGGGGAGATCTCTCGCCCCTTCCGGTTGAAACAAAAATGAGATATGATGATTGATGATGTGATGAGATATGATGATTAGATGAAGTATGATTATTAGATAGGATATGTATCCATATGTTCAGTCGGAGACATGCTCTGTCGAGTATTTCCAATTGGGTCGGGCTCGGGCTAATCTCCGAGGACTAATCTGCTCTAGGTCGAACGCCTCTGCATTACGCCGTATCGAATCGAAACCAACACCGCGATGTCAACTTACTAGTCTACCTCAACCAAGAATTCCCTCTTGATGCTGGTCGGCACGATGTAGATGGCAGGACGCCTCTGCATCTTGCATGTTCCTTGGAGGATGATCTCTATGTTAACTTTTTCTTGGGACTTCTCAAGGCCGATGAATGGTGTAAATTACTCGACAATAGCGGGGCTGGACCTCTCCACTACGCAGCGTTCGCGGGCAACTGTCAGGCCCTCCAAGCGGTGGGTATTCGATTTAGATCTTCCTCCGAATGGGGGAGAAGACGAACTCATGTCTGAGTGAGGAATGACTAAAAATATTTTCGTCCTCAGATTTTATCTCAACTGGCGTCCAAAGACATTCGTGCCATTTTGGGTACACCACCGATGTGCCCGACTCAACGTTTATCTCCATTGGAACTCGCCGCTAGCCGGGGCCATCTTCAATGCTTGCAATTACTGCTGGAGTTTGCGACCAGAGAAGATGGCGACCCATGTCCCGGGAAGCGACCGGACATGTCGCTCATCCTTGCGGCCAAGCACAACAGGTGGGAGTCTCCCTCGAGTCCGAATTGACGAAAGCGATCCGAATCCGCTCCATAGGTGCTCATGATTTCTTTGTCCGCATTTCAGAGAAGCGTGTCTTGTGTATTTGTTGGACTGCGGTCTCTACGACGTTAACCTTACTGACAAACGCGGTCGCACCGCTTTAATGTACGCTGCGATGCGTTCTTCCGGCCAAACTATCCGGGCTCTCCTCGAGCAAGGCGCAGAAGTCAACATTCGGGACCACCGTCGGCTGGGAGTTCTCCATTATGCTTTCAATAATTACGAAGCGACCAAGGAGCTCCTCGAAACGGGAGCACCGATCCTGACTCGAGTCAAAGTTGCCTGCAAGAGCCCTCTGCATCTCGCTGCGCTTTCGGGCAACGCGAAAGTTCTGTCTGATCTTATCGATGCCCTGCAAGAGGATTTCCAATCAATCTCAGATAGTGTCGCGTCCGCGAACGGCCTTCCCTATGGTGGTAGAACCATCATGTCGTTGAGAGATCCTCAAGGCTATTCAGCGTTACATTATGCCTGCTATTCCGGAAACCGAGAATGCGTGGCCCTGCTTCTGAACAAAGCCAAGGAGGAGATGAGCGAGGACGCCGAGATGCAGGTCGCTCCGAGAGCTCACTTCACCGAGCTCCATTGCGCGGCGTGAGTACTTACCAGCCGACGACTCGACCCCCTATTTCTCCTGTTTTATTTTTGAATCTCGGACTGCTCGTGATTCGGCTCGACACCCTAACATGAGTATTTTTTTCCTGCTCCCAACAGAGGTCACCTCAACGGCGTATCTCTCCTCGAATCCATTCTCCAACTGTTCGGGATGCAAGCCCTGCACGCCAAAGATGCTCACGGACGGACGGCCCTTCATATAGCTGCCATACGCGGTGTGCTCCGAAACTGCGACCTGCTCATTATCCGAGGGGCCGATGCGGACGCGAGAGACAACCAGGGTTGCACTCCTCTGATGCTGGCGGCTCAATGTGGCCAATGCACCATAATCGGTGGGTTCAATCAGCCGAAGATTGAAGATCCTTTCGGTCGATCGTATTATCAAAAATATCACCATGAGACCCTGCTCAGACTACGTTCCTAATGTCCGTCTCCGAAATTTCACGCAGAGCATCTGCTACGTCGCGGTGCCGATCCTTGTGCTCAGGACTTCGAAGGCAATAGTCCTCTCCATCAGGCTTGCATACATCATCAAGAGAGCGTAGTACAATTATTGCTGGAAAATCACGAGTTGGGGAAACTCGTGAACCTTGCTAACCACGAAGGCCGCACCGCCCTACACCTCGCGGCTCGGAACGGCCTAGTCACCGCCACACAGTTGCTCATTGTCAAAGGTGCTGACGTCGTCGCGAAGGATAAGTTTGGTAAGCGAAGCGAGTATTCTGAGATTCCTCAGCATCGACCAATCTCCTTCTATTGGGAGGTCTTCCAATCAGGTGGCTGATCGTCGTTTCTTCGTTTTCACAGGTCATACTCCTGCGTTGTGTTGCGCGACAAATGCTCAGGTTGCTCGATGCCTTAAACTGATTCTCGATGTGTCCCCTTTGGCGTTCTCGGCGTCCGGAGCGTGTCCGGACATACCCAGTCCGCCTCTCAGTGAGGAGGAGGAGGAGAATTTCACCCACTGAAGCACTCTTCAGACACAAGTACAACAACTACCGATAGTAGCTCTTCGTGCAGGATCGATGGCGTAGCCAAAATGGAACCTGAGTTACAAAGTATTAAAAGGGGCTAAGAAAGAAAACAGCACACACGAAATGCTTTTCTAGTTATCGTGATGGCTGTGTTGATTTTCCGTTGAGTTGGAAAAAAGAAAGAGAGAAAGAAGGTAGCCGGCAGCGCATTCAGAGCATCTTATCGGCGGCTTGGAAGAAGTCACGACAAGGTGCGGAAGCGAGCAGCCATCTAGCCATTCACCGTGTGATAAGACCTTCGGTTCCACATGAGAATCTTCGGTATGTGGGTCTTAAGCAAGCGTACACCAGCCTCCTCTCGGAACTAGCAATCACGTCAACCTAGGACTTTTTGAGGAGAAAATTGAGCAAGCAAGTATCGAGCATTGACACCACATACACACAGATTTTTAGGGAAACGCGAGTTAGTCTCGAAAATTCTTCCTGAGTGATCACAAGAGATTTGTGATCTTCCAACCAACCTATAACACCAGGGATGTTCCGCTGTGATCGCCGGCCCTCCCGTCGGACGCTGTTGGCGTCGTCGATCTGCTCAAGGTCGCCCTCTATTCGTCCGACGATTCGGAGCAGCCTGGCTTCAGTGAGCTGACGGACCGTCCATTTCAACCTTGCCTTGATCAGGGTTCTGATCTCCGAAGAAACACCATAGCTATCTAGATATCGGATACGAAAAAACATGCATAAAGATATACTTACGATAATATTATTACTAGCAGCAAACATCTAGTTCTTCGCGTGGGTAGAGTAAGCGATTTTTTATCAATGTACTTGATGATGATTATAATGGATTCAGATCAATCCAATGGGCAAGCGAATTCCGCTCGACCACCCGTGAATCATGGTTGTCATCATGATCCGATGGGCGCAGTGCTGATTGATCACGATTATTATGATTATTACATCAATATGATTATATATTACTATAATTATAATTATCATCGACACTGCTATCCAAATAGCTTCTTGTCAGTCGAGCATTTCCCTTAAATCTCGTTTCGGGTGGTCTAACCTCTCGACTCTTGGGGAAGGGGGTGCAAGACCGGCTCCCCTCCCTTGAGGCTTCAGGTGATGAACGCTTGACCTAAGGGGAGCTCAAGCTCCTATATCGAATCGATAGCCTTAAAATAATAATGAGCTCCATTCGAGTGTCCCGGTCCTGCGGGCCCGAAGAACTCTTGCATACTCGGTGCGCATCGGGCCGTCGAGTATGATTCATTAGCAGTCGTGCTATTTTCTTGTGGGGGATTTCCGATGGCCAACTTATCTAATACACATGAGGGTTCTCCACAGAAGGTTTACCGTGCCGATTGATCGTATCCGGATCCTTCGACCCATCGTAGTGTCACCTTTCTTCAGATGCAGAGAAAGTCCGATGTTAATGATAATTAGAGTGCAGATGGAATCGATGGGATCGGGCTTTTAACCAGGCGCACCGAGCTGCATTTCTGGGGGCAGTTTTCGAGGTTCGAGAGGACTATACGTCAGATGAACGAAACTGAGTGCTGTCGCTTGGGTTCGAGTGGACAATCTTTCTCCAATTGAAGTCCGCGATCTTTAAACACGAATTTGTGGGATGCAGAAGAGGTGACGCGCTGATCCAAGTCATAGTGCTGGGCATATACACGAAATAATCAGCAGAATACCCCAATCAACGACCGAATCAAGAGATAGCATACGACAAATTGAACGGAATGGCCGTGCATCATGCACCAGTTTCGAGAGCTTTCATTTCAAATTATCGATTCCTCAGCCCTCGAACATATTGTTCTCGGTGCGTGAGAGGTTCCATGAGGAATATAACCGTCAGAAGTAGACTTGCCCGAAAACTCGAAACGGTGACTGCTGTCGAGCCCGCGAGCGGGAGACACCGCATCAAATTGAACCTGGATGAAGTTTGATCGTGTTATCTCCGACGTTTCCATTAGTGAAATTGTGTCCTCTTGTCCCAGGAAAGTCCCGTAGGGTTAAGTTTGTAGCCGTAGTCCTAATGTATCCTAGCAAGAATTCAACCAACCAACGAAGCACCCAACCACCTCACGGAACCGAGCATATTATAGAATTACCGTAATTATATAGTGTCGCTTGTTAAGCTGGCTAGCTAGTCGTTGTCCCCGTGGGACCCTCAAAGTGAATCCCGACTCTTCAAGCTCCCGTCAGTCTGACCTGCAGTGATTCGAAGGAGTTACCGAAAGGCTGTTCCGCCGGTGTCCTTCTCGCCCCTATATCTCTACATATTGACTGACGAGCCTTGGAGCTTCTGTGATCTGCACGGTGCAATGTCTTTCTCACGCTGACTTATTCTGTGAGTCAACTCCAGTATCTACTCGTATGAACTTTCACAGTGCCTCTTTCACCTACTTACCTACCTACCCGTTTCAACAACCTTTATCTATCTTTCTACCTATTGATAACCTACGGAGCAACAATCAGTGAACCAATCATACATTTATTCTCAAGTTCCCCGCCGCCAAAAAATGAAGTCGCGCTCACAGAGTTCTGTGCTTATGATGAACTCGTTGATCTTGATACCATTGGAATCTGGTGAATCAATCTCATTCATCGCCATGCTCACAATAACAATGTTGAAGGCCGTCTGGAAGGATGAAAAATAAAATTGTCGATAGTTACTTACAACCGTTGTCTTCAATCGATGAAGTCGCGAAGGTCGATGAGCACGTCGGGAGCTCGCAGCGGAGACCACCTAAGATTTGAAAAGGGTTTCGCTCTTCGGGATGAGGAATGAGTAACCGGTATGATTGTCATCATGAATCCATTCTGAGGGACTTCCGTTCTTTTCTTCATCCCATCCGATGATGCCTCTCCGCAGCCTCGTACCAAGCGTGGCTTCGACTACATGAATTGAATATTCTGAGTGAATCAATGTGCAGGACCCAGGAATGATTCTTCGGAGAGACCTCGTTTTGTGAAGCCATGTATCATTCTACCTCGAAACGTTTCCCGCATCGCTGAGTGTCTCCGAATGATCTCAGCACCGAAAATCACGCCTTGGATAATAGCTTCCGATATTTCGAATAAATAGTTTCGAATATTTTGTCCAACCAGCTAATATTGTTCTTTCTGGTGTTTGGAGCAGTCCGAACGAGTCGGTCTTCAGCGCGACGGAAAGATCTGTCAGGAAAAGGCTCCTCGACACGAACTCCGATCTCTCTCCGCTCGGATCATCCGATAGCGCGGGAAGTATCTGTATCTCGGAGCGGAAACTCCCTCTCTCCGTGGCGCTACGAGGATCCTCTCTCTCTCCTATTGTCTCATCGTTCAGATACGTTCCAAAAGCCGTTACAGTGTAATCAGTCCAATTTCACAGTGTAATGCACACGGTGTGAGAAAACGTTCGAGAGGTCCCTGAGGCCCACCAGAGGCGACAGGTGAAGAGCCCCCAACGTAACGTCAATGGAGAGGCCCGAGGCCCGGTCTCCACATCTGCATGGGGCCGTGATGATGATGACGGGAGGAACGAACTAGGCAGTTCACAAGTATGTCGCTGACTGTGCTGCCATCGGGAGCCACGAGCCTGTGACGTCTAAGTCTACAGCTGACAGCGACTGGTCATATGTCCTGGCACTAGCGGACCGGATCCGCAGAGTTCTTTTCTGATGCTTATCTATTATGCCAGGGTGTATTAAGGAAGTTCATTTCGAGATAGAGAAGACGAAAACGGAAGCGATATCTCCTTCTACCATCGTCCTGTCTCGCAAAACACTTCGGGAACTGAGCCGAGGACGGCATTGGCTGATCAGCGGCAGAATAACGGAGCCGGGGTCGTGTCCGGAACCTATCTGCGTACCACACGGACAGTATGACAGTAATTTTCCGAGAGCGAATTGAAGTAACGACGCGGGCTCGGGATTTTAGACTCGCTGGCAGGGATCCGTTTTCCCGCAACCGAACTGGAATATCGACGTAGGATTCAGATACATAGTCGATTTTTCATTACAGATCATAATTCGAAGATTAGTGCCATGGATGGCGGATATCTGAATGCGTTCTTCGACAACCTCTCCTGCTTCCATCGAGAGCACACGCATCAGAGCGCTGAAGCTCGGAACATGAACGCATCACAAACGCAATACGATTCGGAAGGGGCTCTGGAGCTAGCAGACTAATGGAGTCCCATCTTCCCCTTTTGGGGGGAGGGGTCCTCCTCACGAATTCCCTCCTGTCATCCGCTCCTCCGAGCCAGCCCGTGAAAAAAAACACGCAGAATCGACTCTTATCTGACCGGCCCATCTCAGGTGGAAATCCAGAATTTTTGGAAGATTTGATTCCCGAAAGCCTTGATTTTTCCATCTGCACTCATTTCGGGATTCGAAACCTGTGTCCCTTATAAGCCGACGCCGACAGTTGGTCAGCTCGGGGGCGGTGGTTCCTCACCCGTTACCGTGCTCGCCTCCGCTCGGCTAGAAAATCGGCCTGATATTAGCAGAGAAGAAACGGCGAATCCCGATCCGGGTCACAGAATCCACGCTCAGTTCTCGAGTCCCGGATCGCTGCGAGGCCAACTCGGAATAAGTACAGACCTTAAGCTAATTGAGCTCAAGTCAAAACCGGTAAAGTCTCTTTATTCGGACGCTCGAACAGATATACAGAGCAGACGAGGACTAGAATAGACAACTCTGACGAGACCCGTGTGGCTAGAAATGTCTCGAAGGCAACTTCCCTGCGTAGTGATGCGGATCGTGCCTGAATGCCGGTAGAGGCTGCACAGGCGGACCGTACGCCACCGGTACCGGTGCAAGGCGGGGCAGCGCTGGGGCCGCGTAGATGGTGGGTGCCACGTGCACTGGAGGCACCGCGTGATTTATGTGGCTGGCGTAGGAGTAGGATGTGATGTATGGAGTGTGAGGGGCAGCGACGATCGGTGCCGGCGCAGCGACGGCCGGTGCCGGCGGATAGTAGGCTACCGGGGCATGGGGAGCGAAAACAGGTGCCGCAGGTCCATAAGGCGTCGGAATCGGTGCTCCATAGGGGCCTGGCCTTAAGAAAGTTGCTCCGAAGACCTGAGGAGCTCCTAAGAGGGCAAGCAGTATGAAGTGGATCATCATGACACTTATTCGATCTACGTATCCGGCTCGATGGTGACTCTGAAAGGGCCGGGTACGGGGCTTTTATAGCTCAAGCTCCCGAAGGCATCTGGGAAACGGTAGCGCGTCATGAGCTGTTGGAAAAATATGCAGGTGAAAAGTGAAATCATTCGGTAGACCCATGAATGTTTGATGCGTTCACCGTAAAGTTGGCGTCCATGTTGCGCATGCCGAAAGGAAAGCGAGCCGAAAGGTTCAGATCCGCTCGGGCCGGCAATGAGAATAATACGCTGGAAACTGTGACGAATCGCCAGTCTCGGAGGTCATTCGGTAGTATGAGTGACAAACATGCCTTTCATCAAGGTTACTGACAAATTCTTGAGGGAATAATCATTTCGGTCCCCGCTGGTTTCAGAAAGCGCTCTTCGGATTGAATTTTCGGGGCAATCCACGGAGGATTCCGGTTTCGCAGGGGGTTGTGTCTTACCCGTCATTCCGAATCCACTCGGTATACCAAGCCCATGGAAGATCTTATTGCCTCTGCTTCGCCGATTTGGTTCGGTACTGGTCGAGCGAAGTCGGCTCGTCCCCGGTTAGTTCAGCACGGATCACCGTCACACAGGAAGACCAACGAGCTGCCTCGTCGTATAGCACCTCAGAGTCTGCGTTGCTGAGGGAAAGTGTTGAGCAAGAAGAGGTGATGCAGTGAGTTCCACAAGTCATCAGATCCAAACAATCCTAATCATCAGTACTCTCCATTTAAGCAAGGCATGCGAGTGTTAACCCCCCGGTGTAGAAGACGTCACCAGTCGCCGAGCCAGCAATCAAGGTGACAACCACGGGGGACAAATGATCTAGTCACCGCATAATGATCTCGAGTCTTGCCTCATGTCTCTATCGTGCCGCATAATTCCCTTTCTTCATCCGCTGTGTTCCCCTACCAGGTTTATGCGCCTCTTGACATTCGAGATATGAACTGAAACCTCTGTGATTGAACTTGATCCGTTCCACGGCGCCGCCCGCTAACCGAGAAGTTCGTCATCCGGAGCCCTTTTCTTCGACTCGATGCTGCGGTCCCGCCGCTGCTTCCCGTGAGTAGACTCCAGGAGTCTGGTTGAAGAAACAAGGGAACGCGGTCGGGGGCTCGAATTTCGCCCCAGAATGTGGTGCAGGGGCATGTTATTACGAAAAAAAAAGCTCGTTATCCAGATTTTCATCGAGCAAAATGATCATTGAACGTGGTCCCACTGTACCTAGCGCAGGTCAGATCATCCTCAACCGCGCGAGTAGTCGATTGATCCGGTCCACAGTCCAGAGATATCTACCAGATGACCACCGGCAGAACGTCCCGCCAAGAAGCAACGGGCGTCTCAGCATGATGTCCGAGCATTGTCTTCAGCGTAGAGTTCTCTCAGCCATGGGACCCAGCCATGGGACCCCAGCCACGGATATTGACCGATAGTCATCTCATCATCTTGAGGAGACGGGTCCTTAGGAGAACAGTACGGGTTCCGTCACGGTGTTTCAGGACGGATTCTCATTTTTGATGAGGCTCCGCTCGTCCTGCTTCCTTCGCTGATATCCATCGCCGCTAATGATAGTCTCGCTTCAGTTTCCGCTTGGCTCCGGATCAGAAGCGAGTCGGTAGAGAAGAGGAGGATTCGAATGAACCCTTATTCGGAACGATCGCGTATCCGATAACGAACAGGAGCGGCCATCCCTAGATCACAAGAGAAGCCGCCTTCGCATTCGAAGTTCGCTAGTGCAGGCGAGCCTGGCTTTCAGCATTGTCGATCACAATACATTCGGGATGGATATTCTGCAGCGACAAGACGGAGTAGCTATTCGTTTTCTTGAAGGAATCTAATGCGTAGAGACTGCGGCCCGGGCCAGGGAACACTGTCTCCAGAGATGCCTGCCTCCCCTGTTCGAAATCTCTCGAAATTTCACGGTGTCAGTGTTGAGAGCATTTCATTCCCGGGAGATCGCAGTGAGTGACCGCCATCATGGAACAGAATCGATTTTTTCAAACGGGGGACTCGCTGTCGCAAGGGAACGATAGCTCTAGATATTCCTTGGGGAGTGAAAGAACGACCATCTCGAAGAAGATTCAGCGGGATTCGACGTCATCGAATGCTTAGATCCTCCTCGTGGGCAAAGGTTCCACAGACGACGGATTTGGGTGCGCGTCCCCCACGTCTTGCTTCCGATACCTTCGCCCTCCGTCTGCTGTTGGCATCGGATTGATCGCGGAGTCCACCGATCTTGAGCAGGACATTAACAGAGTCCACCGATACATTCGTGGCTAGAGGCCGTACGAGAAATCAGTCAGCCATATTTTTCAATAGGGAATGCCGCATGAGCTCAAGAGGTGGTCCTCTGCGTCTGCGCTGGACCCCTGGATCGGGCAGCTCCACAGCGAGAATCTTCAGCTCCGGAATGATTTTTGAGCATTTACTACCATTACTATGAAGTTCTGTTATCTTATGTATGTATGTATGTATGTATTGTCAGTCGCTCCACGTAAAATCCTTCTGGTTTTTGCACCGGTATATGTATATGTACATGATACAATGAGCATTTCGCTCCACCAAGCTCACATCTGCATGATTCATTAGGTTGTGCGCTTGTTCGTTATCAGTCATCACAGATCTGGTGATGAGAGCCGTGTACTGCTCGTCAAGTTAGTTTTTGTCGGTTTTTGAAGCGGGGTAGCTTCCAGGCTTCGGACGTCATTGCAGGGCAATTCCGAAATTCGCCATCGACGTTCGAGAGTTGGTCCAGCCATTTTTCTTGGTGGGTTTCAAACATCGTGGTCCGAGGTGGGTCGAATTGCCTCTGGAGGTCTTTGGTCATCAGTGGGGTTCCTGCCAGTAGGTACACCAGACGGTTTCGGGTTTTTCTGTGGAGTCCCCTGGCGATCTTCAGGAAACTCGCCTCAAAAACTTAAGGCGAGTTGTCGAGCTGAGAAAGTCCGAGGTGGCGTCAGATCACTTGAATCCCATATGAGGCTATGGGTGAGATCTTCAGCTAGAAAAGTGCGAGGGCGGTGTCGAGAGACAGCTCGCGAGTTACTCGAGACCGAGGAGAAGGCATGTCTTGCCTTAGTGATTCTTTGTCTCATGTGCCTTGCGGAGGACTTCACCCTGCGTGAGATCTCGATTCCGCGGTAGGCGAACGATTGCACCTTTCCGATTCGTTCTCCGTAGGTTCTGAAGACATCCCCGGAGGCGGGGCAGCCGCCTCTCCCGAGCTTCATGCATTTTGTTTTGTCGACGTTTATCGTCTGTCCGTTGGCTCCTGAGTATGTCTCCAGAGTTCTTACAGCTTTCTGGAACTGTCGACGTGAGCGGGAATAAAGGAGGGCATCATCCGCGTACAAAAGGGTTTCAACGAGGTCGTGGGAGTCTCTCATCGTTTTCGGTAGATCGCTGAGCAGAACTGTAAAGAGCAGTGGGCTCAAATTATCTCCCTGGGCTACGCCTGTGGTCTTTGGGAACTGCGGGTATTCCCCGATCCCGTCCTTCAGCGATACTCCACCTTCCTGTAGAATTTGGCGGGTGAGTCACCAGATTTTCGCACCAACTCCCGCTGCCATCAGGTTGCTCATGATAATGCTCCCTGGAGCAAGGTCGAATGCTGCTCTATAGTCCACGAAAAGCGCGTACGACGTAGGTTTGCCCTCTTCGCTGGTTAGTCTGATGCTGCGTGAATGAATGAAATGAATCTTCTCCTACAGGCATTCCGCGTGAGGATCTTAGTGGAGAGCCTCAAGTATCCAGAACTTTAAGGCTCATGGATGAGAATAATGTATGAGTCATAAGTCCGGTCTTCTGTTTGGTGTTCCTGAGGGAGGCTCTCTTGAGAGATGGAAGTCAATCCTCGGACCTCCACTTTTCCTCGAGCATCTGTCGTATACTTATCCTCTCTGGTGAAATAATTACCGCGTCGTCACGAGAGGGTATCAAATTCCCTCCGGGGAGGAATGAGTTTTTTTCTTCTCATTATTTTGGCCTTTCCGGAATACTTGAACCGGGACGAACCTACACCATGACACGATCCCATCAACTGGCCCGCGTTCGTAGACCATGGGTGGTTTGATACGATATCGACCTGGCAGCATGCCCATCTCCAGTGAGCAGAACGGAATCGTGAGATATCATTGTTCCAGACACTCAACTTATCAAGCGATATACGACGCTAAGGGCGTCGAATCGCCTATCCGATTTCCGTGTCCGCTGAAGTGCCTATTGGTCCGTTGTGCGACGTGGAAACAACTTCAGGGCCGTATTTCTGAAGACTATCGCTCGTTGCACTAGTCACAGATGCGTGACATCTATTGGGGATCGCGGGCTCAGTATGAGATGGGCAACGATCGCCCAAGAATCCCCGTACTCCCATCACATGATTGAGAACGCCTCGGATCAGATATCGATCGGAGAATATTCGCATCAAGAGAATGAGCTGGCCAACACCGTGATATAGCATCCAGGACGCAAGGAGGGGAATACTAGTATTCTTCATCACTCTCGTTCTTGAGGGGGCTCATCCGCGGTAAGGTCGGCGAGCGGAGACGATGCGCTCTCTGTCACCACTTGAAGATACCGAGGACAGATGGAGACGATCCTGAATATCCCGAGGGCAAGCGAAATAAGTCGTGGTCCCGGAATGAGTGAATACCGCAGGAGAATCGGCAATCCCAAGTCGGACTCTGGCTGAGACGAGAACTTCGGCGCTCGCTCACTCGAGAGAACCTCACGGAGCCTGGATTCAGAGGACGGAACGCCCGATTGAGCGACTCCGCTTATTTGCATGCTAATACAGACCGCTCAGAACAAATCGGCTATCTGACGATCCAGAAGACGTCAAAGAGCGACTATCGCCGCGGCTGATCGCTCATTTCCACAGAGAAACTCGCACGGCTCTCGTCAAGGCTCACTCTCGTACAACTCGGAAGCGTCCGTCTACGTTCCGCCGAATAATCGTTTCCGGCGTCCCAGATTCCAGGCTCAGAGATCCATCCTCGGAGAGAACACCGAGTCTGCGCCGGAAGGAGTTTCAGCGTGACGACCGAGCAGGGTTCCTGGTGAATACATATACATACCTACATAGGGATCGCTCCAGACTCTGCCCGCAGAGTCGACCCTGACCTTCGACAACACTCCCCGATCTTTGCATACTTTTCCAAGTTCTCCCCGTCATCCCTTGCCCAAATCCAAC